CCCCCTCCTAATCTTAGGTGTCCTCCCAATCTTTATTAACCTGAGGCCCTCCAGTAGAGTCTCCATAATTCTCAGCACTAGGCCCTGGAGAACTGGTAGGACATTGTCAAAGGTTCCTATAAATAACAATATTTATATTCAGTAATCAACAGAATCTCACATTGTCCGAAGGTGATATTCCATCCATGAGAGAAATTAGATACTCCTTGGAAGGCCTCGGATAGATAAAAACTAAAATCAACTTTACATCAGATTCCTGCAGACCTTGGGAATCTGGCTCTGCACTTTCTTTGGTGATAATGCAGGTTAGTCACCCTCTTCTGGGATTATTTCCATTTATTATTTTTAATTTCTGAGGTTAGCCTATATCCTGTAACAGTCTTCATATGAATCAAAGACACAGCATCAACTTTCTTGCTGAAAAATGCTCCATTTCAACTTTACCTGTAACCTGGCTTTGGTGACTTTCTCAAGGTGAAAATAATGATTATGTTCATTTTCAGCATTGAATTTGGCCAGTGTCTCCCATGCTGTCTGCTGAAAATTGGCTTCAGAAGGATCTCCAGGCGTGGGACAGTCAGGGCAAATATGCACAATAGCTGAACTGGAAACTTTAGAAAAGCGTTATTTTTTTTATATTTTTTTTGAAAACTTTTTATTCTAGAAAAAAAACATTTATTTGACATACATTTAAAACAGACAAATATATAGATATATAGATAGATAGATAGATAGATAGATAGATAGATAGATAGATAGATAGATATATAGATAGATAGATAGATAGATAGATAGATAGATAGATAGATAGATAGATAGATATAGATAGATGATAGATAGATAGATAGATAGATAGATAGATAGATAGATAGATAGATAGATAGATAGATATAGATATAGATATAGATATAGATATAGATATAGATATAGATACACACACACACACATACACACACACACACATATGCATTTTACAGCGTATATTAAGCAATGGTTAATTTTTTTTCTTTATCTTTATCATTGACGTGATCTGCCTTGTTACAATAACTCCTTCGTTCTTTTAATATTTTAATTTCTCTATATAGTTTATAATTAAATGCACGTCTTCTGTCATTTCCATAACTTATCCAAATATCAAATATTACCTTTTCTTTAACCAATCATACCAAATGTTCCATATTTCATAATAGTCACTATCTTGTTTATTTTTTAACAATTTGGTTAGGCTATCCATCTCAGCACATTCATGTATTTTTTAAATTCCCATATCCTCTGAAGGAATGAAAGACAGTTTCCAGTTTTGTGTGTAGGTTATTCTGGCCGCAGTTATGATGTGCAAAATTAAATATTGATATTTTTTCTCCCTGTTTAAATCTATCATACTTAGCAAAAAGGTTTCGGGTTCAAGTTTTAAATTTTGTTTTGTTTAAAATCCAATTTCTAATATTTTTTCAAAACTTCTGAGCACATGGGCAAGTCCACCACATGTGAAAATATGTTCCTTGTGCGTAGTTACATTTCTAACAGTTGGGTGGTACCCACTTATCTAATTCAATACTATGACCCACGTTTTTAGCCCAAATTATCATAGATTCTGTGACTATTTCTTCTTTTAATTTGTAATCCAAAAGATATTTATATGTTTTACTAATTGTTTTCTTTTCCTCTTCTAGTCATATTTTATCTAATTCTTGTGGGATCATATTAAAGCCAAATTGTTCTCTATCTTTTTTATAGTGGGTTTGTATTTGTGCAAAGGGCCACCATGCTATCTCCTTTCCTTGAATTTGTATTTGGTTCCTATTTTTAAGCTCTCCAGTATCATATAGTAAATCTTTATACCTGACAATATTTTCATCATCCAATAGATTTGGATATGTGACTGCTTCCAATGTAGATAGCCACAATGGAACCTTTGGCTAGTGTTTTTTTTAATCTTTCCCCAGATATTGAACGACACATTTCTTTGGAAATATGAATGTTGATTAGATTTTCCATCCCACATGAAGGCGTGCCAGCCAAGTTGGAGATCAAAACCTTCTAATACTAATAACTTTCTATTTTCTAATTTAACCCAATCCTTAAACCAGTTTACTATAGCAGCATCATAATATAATTCAAAATCTGGAAGGCCAAATTCTCCTTTTTTCTTGGCATCCTGTAATAATTTATATTTCACTCTGGGTTTTTTCCTCTGCCATATAAATTTAGATATACATTTGTTTAATTCTACAAAAATATTCTTTTCCAACTTGACTGGCGCTGTCTGAAACAGGAACAACAGTTTTGGCAAAATATTCATTTTTACTATCGAAATACGTCCCAATAGCGATAACTGCAATTTGGTCCAATTATCTAAATCTTTAACTATTTGCGTTATTAACTTATCATAGTTATATTTTTTAATCCACGAACATCTAGCAGTCAACCAGATCCCTAAATATTTTACTTTATTTACCACCTGCATGCCAAATTTATTTGCTAGTTCTTCCTTCTGCTGCTTTGTACAGTTTTTTGTTAAAACTTTTGTTTTTTCTTTGTTAATTTTTAACCCTGCCACCTTTCCATATTCTTCTATTTCTCTTAGTGGTATAGGGCTTGTTTCTAAGGGTTCTTCTAATATAAATGCCATGTCATCAGCGAATGCCTGGAGTTTATATTCCTCTTTTTTAATTTTTAGTCCTCTAATCTCTTGATTTTGCCTAATTTTTGCTAAGAGAGTCTCTTCTGCCAATATATACAGTAGAGGAGCTAGGGGGCAGCCTTGTCTTACTCCTTTATTTATCTTTATGGTATCTGTATTTTCTCCATTTATTAATATTTTTGCGGTTTGCATGTTATAAATTGTCTTAATAAATCCTATAAAACTTTCACCAAATTTCATGCCTATCAGTTGTTTAATAAGGAAGTTCCAATTCAGGTTGTCAAAAGCCTTCTGGGCGTCTAAAACATCAGTGCCATTGTCTTGGTTGAGTATACTTCATAATATTCTAATATATCCATAATGGTTCTTGTATTTGTTTTTATTTGCCTATGGGGGAGGAAGCCCTTCTGATCAGTGTGGATAATTCTACTTAATACTCTCTTTAATCTTTCCGCCAATATTGTAGCCATTATTTTGTCATCTACATTTAAAAGTGATATTGGTCTATAGTTTTGAATTTTTTGTGGGTCTGATTGTTCTTTATAAATAAGCGTAATATATGCTTCCAACCATGATTTAGGCATGTTAGCATTCTCCAGGGCTTCATTGTACAAGTCCAACAATATCTCCTCTATTGTTTCTTGGAATTCCTTATAGAATTCCGAAGGAATTCCATCTGGGCCAGGGGTCTTATTTGCTTTTTGTGTTCCAATTGCCTTCCTAATTTCTTCTATAGATATTTTATTATTCAAATTTTGTTTCTCTTCATCATCAACAAAATAGAAAAGCGTTATTTAATAAGATGAGGAAAGACATTTGAATTTGAACTTGTACATTTAAATGAACTGAAATACAGAAAGCTTGGATCAGCTTGAAAATTAAGCCTCCTTCTACCAATCAGCATCAGACTTGAATCCCCCCAAACAAACTCAATTTGGATGACTGAAGTTTCTGCTGCGCAAAAATCTAACTGGAGAACATGATTGTTGACTCTGGGCTATGGATGTGTCTCATTGGAGAATATGAATTATGATACACCCAAGGGGTGGGAGGGGAAACTAGGGTCAAGGTTGACAATAAATGATGTGTCTCAGAGTCAGCTACACCCAGGCAATGCCAGACATGTTAACTCCCAATAAATCCTTTGAAGTTTTGGAAGTTTGGCTTGAGACTCATGATTTAATTGGGGTAACTGCCAAAATCCTGACATTTGGCCAGTGTCTCTGATGCTGTCTCCTGAAAAGTGGCTTCAGAAGGATCTCCAGGCACTGGGCAATCGGGGCTAAGATCCACAATAGCTGAACTAGAAACTTTAGAAAAGCAAAGAAGTGTTTTATTTAATAAAGTGAGACAAGACATTTGAATTTGAGCTTGCGCATTTAAATGGTCCAAAATACGGAAAGCTTGGATCAGCTTGAAATTTAAGCTCCTCTATCAAATCTGTATCTGATCAGGATCATAGTTATTTAGCAATTGGGAGGCATCTGTGCTTGGATAGACACTTCTTGCAAACCTACATGGGAAATACATACCTGGTTGTAAAATACACTCATAATTGCGCAAGTGCCAATCGTCTGAATGCCTGTTGAAGTTAATTATTACTTTGCACTGGCCATACACCTGGAACAAGAGATGATAGTTTGTTAGTGCTGCCTATTTTTTTTTTACATGTTATGCGATCAAACATGGTAGGTTTCCCCCACACATATACCTTAGACTCAAGTTTATTTTCCTTCCAAAACAAGGAAAATCAAACTTTCCATGCTGTGGGACAGTGGAATTGTTCTGCTAAGAGAAATTAGATCTTTCTGTCCCAGAATAGGTTTACCAGATGGTTTGAGAGCCCTGTGTCACGAAGGCTTTCTGTTTAGTTCCTTTAGTGAGCGGAGGTTGGATCCATTTGTCTCCCTCCCTTCCAATGCAGGGATTCGTGTGTACAATGCCATTGATTTGAAATGGCAATTCAGTACAGAGAATTATTGTGAACATAGACATGTCAAGGAGTCAGTGACAAAATGAGAGAAATGGTGAAGGCTATTCTGAAGAGACTGGCTTGTTTATCAGTTCAAACCCCAGATTTGATTTCCTTCCAAACCCCATTGGTCGTTCTTTAAATGAGTAGATTGCTTACTTACTGTCTCATAAAAACTTCTAATCTTGCATTCTTTCCACGATTTCCTGCTCAGGACGTGGCATTCGGTTTCTAACACATCCAAAACGAGGTAGAAAAGAGTATTTCCATCCTGCTATGGACAAGCAAAGGAAAACACTTGAAAGGGCAAAGCAGGATGTCCATCGTCTTAAGCAGGTTAACCAACTCTCACTTGATCTCAAGAAACCATCCGCCCTCTCAGATAAATCCAGCAGCTTCCACTGTATCCAACTACATTGATTTCAACTATATGCCCCACATCTCGCTTTCCAATAAGCCTCGTTGTGATGGTCTTTTGATGCAAGGCTATTTTTAAAACCTGCTTAATAACATTGTGCACATGCCAACAAGTTTTGCAGCTCTGGTGTGATGCTGCCGGGCTGCCACTTACTCTTTGATGAAAGGGAAGAGAACGTGTAGACCTCAGGGTGAATCTCCTGATATTTAATGGATAGAGCCCTTCACGGTGTCTGTGGAATTGGTTACTCTGGGGAACCTAGGACAGGTTCAGTTAATCACTTCTGACTTTTTTCTGTTTATTCCCCCTTGTTTAAATTTCCCTCTCTGAATTTAGAACACCAATTCCCCATTTCTCTGAGAATCTTTAAATGATATATCGATCACAGACCCTGTTCATTTGGAGAGTTGGAGACAGAAAAAGACTGAAGCATGTTGGAACTTTTTATAACAAATTCAAAAGGCACCAGTGTCCTCAGAATCACAGTTTGCTTTAAAAGGTTTGCCATAGGCAGCAAAATATTTATTTTAATCTTAGCAAAGAGTGATTTATCCATTATCATGAAACTGGATCTCAATGGATTAACTCAGAAGGTCTTGGACAGATATTACCCAGTCCCATTTAACCAAAACCAAGAGTGGGAATGACCAGAGGCATCAAGATCTGCCACCAAATACACTTACTTCATTCAGTGAAGCATTAGGTTTATGAAATCTAGGCTAGCAGAATCTGGGTGCCCTGTAGATTCAAGAGTAGCACGATAGCTGCCTGTATCTCTTGGATGCTATCAAGTGATTTTATAGCTTCTATTTTCCTGTCCTGATACATCAGTGCCACCACGATTCAACATCAGAATGGTTGGCGCTGAGTGGAAGAAAAAGAAAGTCAGTAGAAGGAAGAGATCTTACCTCAGGTATTTCTTCGGCATTAAAAATACGTTGGACTCTAAAAACGTAGCCTTCGCTCCGATGTGCATTGAGTTCATTAATGGCCGCTTCCGCAGCATCCTTTACGTTTGAAGAGTTGCACGGTGTGTAAAGAAACTGATGAAGTGGAGAGGTAGCCAACGCATCAAGTATCTGTATCCCTATTAAGAATGAAATTAAAAGGATCATTTTGGAAATGTTTTCAGAATCAGAGAAGACAACAACTCAAGCTATGTTAAGAGAGAAAGGATCTGACAGACGTTTGTCGATCTATATATAGTTTGAAATTAACCGCTGATATTTATTCTTCTAGTGCATGGCAGTCCTCACCTTTAAACTTCAACTTATGAGGCAATGGTATATCTTGGCAGGGGAATTTTCACCTATGGTCATGTCCTTGTAGAATAGCATTTTTCTAGTCTTGTGTAATTCGGTCGTGATCGTCCCATCCTGCATTGGCACAGAGGATCAGATAAAGTAGATTTTGCTGAAGAATAAAATGGGGAGTGAAACCAATTTTGCTCCAACCCTATTGAAAAGATTGGAGCATATACACAGTGCATATACAGAGTGTGTCTGGCTCAACTTTTGATTCTCTGCTGAGCTGGGAGCTGAGCCTACTGCAGAGATAAAAACTTCTAGGCAAACTACCAACCTTAGCCTAGTAAAGTAATTACTTGAGAAATGCAAAATGCATTTATCTGATTGCTGTAATTTAGAATGTGTTTTTTCCGGCAACTTAATGTGAGAAACAAAGCTTTGGGCTAAAATGTATTTCTTTCCCATCCATCTAAGGTCCCTGTGTTTGCAGAAGCACTGAGAAAATTTCATGAGCTTTGCATGATGTGAAATAATCTTTCTATAGCAATGATGATTTTGCAAGCTGTGTAATCTATACAAGTTCAATAAAAATTTTTTTTGCATGCATGCCTGCTTTTCTCTCTCTGCCTTGCTGTTTATTTATTTAATTTATTTATTTTATTTTGTCAAGCGATTTCAGATAACAGGTATAAGTATAAGCATGGTTATGAATACATGAAATGGATACATATAAGAAAAAAAGAAACAATAGGACAGGGACGGTAGGCACGTTGGTGCGCTTATACACTAAAAGGTTGACCAGTTTTTGCTTTCTGATCAGAGAAATAAAACTGATTATCAGTAGCCTCATGTTCAGAGTTTCATTGGATTAATCAGATTCTGAGCTGCACTCAAAAAACCTTACACTATGAAACAGCGATCCAAAATCTTTGTGGCTTGGTGACCTGGCTGGGGGGGAGAGGGGAACCAGGCCACATAAGTGGCAGGCTGATGCGCATGTGCACACAGCTCAACTTGTGCGAGCAGTGGGCTGGCAGGCACACACCCCAGTTCCAAATAGCCACAGCCTGGTACTAGGCTGTGGCCCAGGAGTTGGGGACCCGACCCCTGCTATAAAAGATTACAACATATAACAATCATTGATACAATAATCATTGGCCTCATTAGAGATGACAAGGAGTCTGCATATAGCTGGGATGTTGAACTACTGGCCCTATGGTACAGCCGGCTGAAAGAAATGGTGGGAAATTTGTTCTGTCAGATGTTCAATTTTCTCTAATGTAGCCTTACAGTGAAGAAGAATAAGCCGATGTGGTCATATTTCCTTTCAGGCCTTCTTGGGAGGCTGACCTTGATGATGTCTTTGTTCTCCTGCCTTTTGCTTCTGATTTCTCTATTTTCCCAGCTTAGCAGCACATCATCAACCAGTACTGTGCAGTTAGTGGCATTGGACCTGAACTGGGGAGAGTCACTGGTTTCCTTTGGGCCTGGCATCCTTCCTTAACACACCTCCATTGCAACATGGTTGTCGTGAGAAACTGCTTTGGGCTTGGGATGGGTTGGCTACAGATTTTATTTGTCCCAACTGCTTTGATTGAGCTAGGAGAACATTCTTGGGAGGAGAACATTCTTGAGCTAGGAGAACATCCAGGCAGACTGAAGCCCAAGCCTTTGGGTCATGGTGATGGCCCTTGAAAATGTCCTCCTATGAGAAGTTCCATAGATTCCATGGAGGTGTTTGCAGGATTGCACATATGTTTTCCTTTTCTTATATATTCTTATATTCTTATTCTATGAGGTCCTGTAGAGTGATATATGTTCAATGGGTGAATGAGTGAATGAAATTGCATTGGTGCGGAAGATCCAAAGTTTAAATCTATAACTCTTCATAGAGGGAGGGAGGGGGGTCTTATGATGGTCTTTAGGCACATGAAAAGATTGTCTTCTGTTGGCAACAAAGATCTATAAATGCAACAGAATTTGTCGGGCTTTGTGTATGATCCCTTTAAAATGCACAAAATGTCACAAAAGGGCTTTACATGTTTTGCAAGAATGTTTGAACAGCCTATCAGTTATGCCAATTACAATGTTTGCTGCCACTCATTCCCTTACATCATTATACTTCCATGGAAAAACGAAAAGCTTTGCTTTGGAAAAGCGCCACAGGGTTTTCCGGAACAATTCCAGTTTTAGTGTGAGTTCAGTTTCAAAAAGAAATACTGATTCTGACCACTCTCTTTCCCTCTCTCTTCCTCTCCCCGCCTCCCTCCTCCCCCCCCCTCTCTAATCCAATTCCATAATTACAGAAATATAGGAGAATGCATGACTAATAATTTGGCTGTCATTTATATATCTACTTTAAACCAAAGAGCACAGGAATTAAGGGAGCTTAATTGCCAGTATTTATTTACTTCAATATTAGAAGGATTCTCTAATATGCTCACCTAAATCAATACTGTCTACATCCACATTTCCAGATACTTTTTGGTAATGAAAGAGCTTTAGAATGTTTTCCCTCCCTTCCTTTTCCTGCTCATCCAGAGAGTTTTGCTATGTTTCCTCTGAATTAAGCTATCAGCGTTGTACATTCCTGTTTGTTTAGGAGGTTTCAACCTATGGCCGGGAAGGCAGTTCAAGGCCAGGGATTACTACTAAAGTATCTCCTGGACATCGGTCTGATTGTGAAAACTCTCTGGGGAAAGGAGAAATGGCTGGCCCATTTGGCTTGGATGAGTGAGGCCCGGCTTCCTGTTCTGGAGAAGCAAGAGTGGAGCCAGAGGTTGGGTTGGGCTCTCGCACTTCCTGTAATGAATGTTTGCTCAAAGGAGGATGGACGATCACCTTGCCCACTAATTTCTTTTGATTTAATTGTATCTCTTGGATTTCAGCTGTGGGGTGAGGCTGGTGTGGCTCCTGCTGTTTCTGATGTTTGTGGTGGTGGGAACCAGAGTGGTGGTGATGGTGTCCACTCTCTTCATGGCGATCTCCGTGTCTTTCACGACCATCATGATGCTCCTCCTGCGCAGACTTGGATTGTGGAGTCTGTTCACCTGTAACTGGTGGCTAATAGGACAAAAGATACAGAAAAGTGACTGAGGGGGATGATCGGATTTGGACTACAGATTGTGCTTACATATTTTGTGAAATGTTTGAGACAATTGGAGTTCGTAACTTCTGCTCTCTGGGATGCAGAATTGGGCAACCAGAAAAGAACTCAGAGAGTACCAAGGGCTCCCCAAGATCTTTCCCACATAAAATGACAATTACCTATGAACTTGTTTGTGTACTGATTTAATTGGTATGTGTGTGTGTGTTATTCAATTGTTTCTATTTCGTCTCATTTCTTTATTTGTATGTTATTTTAAGAGTTATAAACTGACTCATTCCAGAAGCTTTAGGCCGAATCTAAAATCAAAATATAACAAAGAGAATTATTAAAAGTAATTAATTAACAATACTCTTCTGCAGCAGATTTTACTCTATCTGCTTCATCCAGCCAGTCAATGAATTTTAAAAATAAATTGTTCCACCACGCAGGAACAAAAGTTTTCTACAGATGATAGGTGACTGAGGAACTTACCGGACGTGGGAAGAAATGGCATTCTACAGTGATATATTTCTTTTTATCTTCCTCACTGTTTACCACAGAGCCTTTGCATAGACCTCTTTCCTAGAGCAAAAGAGAAAATTTTCATCAACAAAAACAAAATGAAACAAATTAACCTGCTCAGGTATTTCTACCATGCTGTGGGACAGCAGTGTAAAATGTTCTTTGGGTATCCTATATCAAAAGGCCTTTTCCTTAGTCTCAATGGTTGGCATGTCATTTCTTTTCCTCAAAATGGCCACTTAAAGTGGATGAAGCCCCTATGGCAAAGCAGAATCTGGAGCTCTGCTTATTAGAAACTTAAAATCTTTTTTTTTCTCATTCATTTTGCTTGTAGAATCTGGGTTAGATGCCAGACATAGGATTTTTCAAGGTGATGCAATTGCTAAAGCGGTATAAAACTGAGGAGTATTTTGGAAAAAAATAGATTGTATGCCTTTTCTTACTAAAGGATATTACTCCTGTGCCATGATGTGATTCATCAGTTTTCTTTATTTTTATGTCATTTATTTATCCAGATTCGGCACTGCAACAACTCCAGACCGACTCTGGTTGGCTCATAATATAAGAAAACAAGATGAAGAAAATAAA